CCCCTCTTATAGATTCTCATTTACTCCAGGCTCTATATGCTTAATTTCATGCTTCTAGGATCAATATTATAGAAAATTCAAAAAGTACCTTTTGAAGAACGAAAAAGTACCAAAAAGTCCCCTTTTATAGATTCTCATTTACTAAGGGCTCTACATGCTTAATTTCATGTTTCTAGGTTAAATTTTATAGAAAACTCAAAAAGTACCATTCGAAGGACGAAAAAGTACCAAAAAGTCCCCTTTTATAGGTCCTCACTTAATTCGGGCTCTACATGTTTAATTTCATGTTTCTAGGTTCAATATTATAGAAAATTCAAAAAGTACCTTTTGAAGAACAAAAAAGTACCAAAAGTCCCCTTTTATAGTTTATCACTTAATCCAGGCTCTACATGCATGCTTTCATGTTTCTATTTTCAATATTATAGAAAATTCATAAAGTACCTTTTGAAGAACGAAAAAGTACCAAAAAGTCCCCTTTTATAGATTCTCATTTACTACGGGCTCTAAATGCTTATTTTCATGTTTCTAGGTTCAATTTAATAGAAAACTCAAAAAGTACCAGTCGAAAGACGAAAAAGTACCAGTCGAAAGACGAAAAAGTACCAAAAAGTCCCCTTTTGTAGATTCTCATTTACTCCGGGCTCTACATGCTTAATTTCATGTTTCTAGGTTAAATTCTATAGAAAACTCAAAAAGTACCAGTCGAAGGACGAAAAAGTACCAAAAAGTCCCCTTTTATAGATTCTCATTTACTCCGGGCTCTACATGCTTAATTTCATGTTTCTAGGTTAAATTTTATAGAAAACTCAAAAAGTACCAGTCGAAAGACGAAAAAGTACCAAAAAGTCCCCTTTTATAGATTCTCATTTACTAAGGGCTCTACATGCTTAATTTCATGTTTCTAGGTTAAATTTTATAGAAAACTCAAAAAGTACCAGTCGAAGGACGAAAAAGTACCAAAAAGTCCCCTTTTATAGATTCTCATTTACTAAGGGCTCTACATGCTTAATTTCATGTTTCTAGGTTAAATTTTATAGAAAACTCAAAAAGTACCAGTCGAAGAACGAAAAAGTACCAAAAAGTCCCTTATTATAGATTCTCATTTACTCTGGGCTCTACATGCTTAATTTCATGTTTCTAGGTTAAATTTTATAGAAAACTCAAAAAGTACCAGTCGAAGGACGAAAAAGTACCAAAAAGTCCCCTATTATAGATTCTCATTTACTCTGGGCTCTACATGCTTAAATTCATGTTTCTAGGTTAAATTTTATAGAAAACTCAAAAAGTACCAGTCGAAAGACGAAAAAGTTCCAAAAAGTCCCCTTTTATAGATTCTCATTTACTCCGGGCTCTACATGCTTAATTTCATGTTTCTAGGTTAAATTTTATAGAAAACTCAAAAAATATCAATCGAAAGACGAAAAAGTGCCAAAAAGTCCCCTTTTATAGATTCTCATTTACTAAGGGCTCTACATGCTTAATTTCATGTTTCTAGGTTAAATTTTATAGAAAACTCAAAAAGTACCACTCGAAGGACGAAAAAGTACCAAATAGTCCCCTTTTATAGATTCTCATTTACTAAGGGCTCTACATGCTTAATTTTATGTTTCTAGGTTAAATTTTATAGGAAACTCAAAAAGTACCAGTCGAAGGACGAAAAAGTACCAAAAAGTCCCCTCTTATAGATTCTCATTAACTAAGGCCTCCGCATGCTTAATTTCATGTTTCTAGGTTAAATTTTATAGAAAACTCAAAAAGTACCAGTCGAAGGACGAAAAAGTACCAAAACGTCCCCTATTATAGATTCTCATTTACTCTGGGCTCTACATGCTTAATTTCATGTTTCTAGGTTAAATTTCATAGAAAACTCAAAAAGTACCAGTCGAAGGACGAAAAAGTACCAAAAAGTTCCCTTTTATAGATTCTCATTTACTCTGGGCTATACATGCTTAAATTCATGTTTCTAGGTTAAATTTTATAGAAAACTCAAAAAGTACCAGTCGAAAGACGAAAAAGTTCCAAAAAGTCCCCTTTTATAGATTCTCATTTACTCCGGGCTCTACATGCTTAATTTCATGTTTCTAGGTTAAATTTTATAGAAAACTCAAAAAGTATCATTCGAAAGACGAAAAAGTACCAAATAGTCCCCTTTTATAGATTCTCATTTACTAAGGGCTCTACATGCTTAATTTTATGTATCTAGGTTAAATTTTATAGAAAACTCAAAAAGTACCAGTCGAAGGACGAAAAAGTACCAAAAAGTCCCCTTTTATAGATTCTCATTAACTAAGGCCTCCACATGCTTAATTTCATGTTTCTAGGTTAAATTTTATAGAAAACTCAAAAAGTACCAGTCGAAGGACGAAAAAGTACCAAAAAGTCCCCTTTTATAGATTCTCATTTACTCCGGTCTCTACATGTTTAATTTCATGTTTCTAGGTTCAATATTATAGAAAATTCAAAAAGTACCTTTTGAAGAACGAAAAAGTACCAAAAAGTCCCGTTTTATAGATTCTCAATTACTCCGAGCGCTACATGCTTAATTTCATGTTTCTAGGTTTAATTTTAAAGAAAACTCAAAAAAGTACCTGTGTAGAACGAAAAAGTAGCGAAAAGTCCTTTTATTATTAATTTCATGTTTCTATTTCAATGTCATAGAAAACTCAAAAAGGACCAGTTGGAGAATGAAAAGTACCAAAAAATATCACTTGATACCGGGGTTCCAAATAACACCCCATTAGGATATTTAGTGTTTCTAAATTTAAAAATTTTATCTAAATTGGATCATTGTGGTTGAATAAAATCAAATTTCCCGTTTTTACCCCTTTTGGTACTTTTTTCCTCCCCATTAACGAAATAAAAATTCTATTCCAAAAAGTTGCAACATCGTAGTGGGAGCCCGTTATTATGTATTCATATGTATAAGTTAATAAACCAAAAACAATGTTTTATGAAAAAAGTACCAAAAATAGGTACAATTTTAACCCCTTAAACGTCCGAATATCCAAAAAGTACTAAATTCATATTTTTATTTTTTCGTTAAGTTATGAAGGAGTCAAAAATATTTTTTGAATGTGCACTGGTTTAAAAGATACATGGGGTGCGAAAAAAGTACCAAAATACAGTTTTTACCCGTTTATTCCCTAAACGGGCCGAATTTTAAAAAAGTACCAGACACCTGTCCGTTTATTTTTTAAATGAACGGCGATAAGCTTTAAACTGTTTTTGTATCTTTTCTAGTTTAGGAGATATAAGGTTACCGAATTTACCCGTTTTTACCCTTTTTTACCCCCTAAACATTCGAATTTCCAAAAATCCCGTCTTAGTGGATCTATTTGGCGGGAGACCAACCTCCTGTCCAAATTTCAGCTCTTTAGCTTCAACCGTTTAGGCTGTGCGATGATGAATCAGTCAGTCAGTCAGTCAGTCAGTCAGTCAGTAACGTTAGAATTTTATATATATAGATAAACGCTGTAATCTGAGGTTCCGATATGGTTGCAATTAACTTTGACAGTTTTCGTGCTAGGACAGTCATTTATGCACCATTTTAAAGCAGTAAAATTGCCATTTGTTTTGGTATATAATTTATTGCATAATGTATTTTTAGAAAATGGCCAATTGGATAGATCGGTAGAATTATTCTCCCCGGTTTAAAAAGGCAGAAATTTGAGGTTCCGATATGGTTGCGAATAACTTTGACAGTTTTCATGCTATGACAATCATTTATGCATCATTTTAATGCATTACGATTGTACTTTAACTTGGTATATCACTTGTGGCAAAATGTGTTCTTCTAAAAAATTGTAAATTTGATGGATCGGTAGAATTGTTGTTCTATGTTTAAAAACGCTATGAGTTGAGGTTCCGTTATGGTTGCAAATAACTTTGACAGTTTTCATGACAGGACAATCGTTTATGCATCATTTTAAAGCATTACATTTGCACTTTGTTTTGGTGTATAATTTGTGGCATAATGAATTTTTACAAAAATTGGATAGATCGGTATATTTATTGGTACAGGTTTAGAAATGCGGTAATTTAAGGCTCCGATATGGTTGCAAATATCTTTTATAGTTTTCATGTTATAGCAGTCGTTTATATATCTTTTTATTGCATTATAGTTGCCATTTGTTTTGGTAATTTGAGGTTCCGATATGGTTGTGAATAACTTTGACAGTTTTCATGCTATGACAGTCATTTATGCATCATTTTAAAGCATTATGATTGCACTTTAATATGGTATATCATTTGTAGCATAATGTGTGTTTTTACAAATTGGTCAATTTGATAGATCGGTAGAATTATTGTTCTATGTTTAATAAACGCAGTAATCTGAGGTTCCGATATGGTTGCAATTAACTTTGGCAGTTTTCGTGCTAGGACATGCACCATTTTAAAGCATTAAAATTGCCATTTGTTTTGGTATATAATTTATTGCATAATGTATTTTTAGAAAATTGCAAATTGGATAGATCGGTAGAATTATTTTCCCAGGTTTAAAAAGGCGGTAATTTGAGGTTCCGATATGGTTGTGAATAACTTTGACTGTTTTCATGCTATGACAGTTGTTTGGGGCCAAATCGGTAATCCCGGTTGTTACCTCTTAGTTGCTGAGCTGGTTCCTAGGTGCTGGTTGTTGGCAAACTGTCTCCGGCAGCCGTCCACTTGGTTTTCTCTTGATGCGGCAGGTCAGGGCCAAATGTGTTTTTATAGGCGCCGTGCTATAAAGCCATAGGTAATAAAGCCATATGGTTATATTTCTCATTTCATTGAGAAATAAGGCCATATGACTTTATTTCCATGTAAGGAATGAAATAAAACCATTATGGTGTTATTGCTCATTTAATTTTTTTCATAATTCAAATTTATTTACAAAAAAAAATGTAGTTCAGTTCACAAATGAATATAATAAAGTTCAGTTCACAAATGAAATGTAATAAAATTCAGTACACAAATGAAATGTTTCAAAATTTTTAATAATTAATAATATATAAATGTACCATTCTTGATAATGGCACGACAAATTGGACACAATGTTTGTGTTCCTTTTTGCTTAGCACTTTCTTTCAGTTGTTGGTAACATGGTTGACAAAGTTTGCATGGATCAAACAGTATTTGCCTTTCCCTTTCACAACAAATAATACACGTAAGATATTGTTGTTCTTTTTCTATTGTGTCAGTGCTGTCTTCTCCACTGCTATTTGTATCTGATTCGTCGTCATCGCTGTCAATTGTATTAATGAAACTTTCCTCAATCATACAGTTCTTCATTTTAGAGAACTGTCCGAGTAAAGTATTCAGTGTTATTTTCTTCTCCCTCAGTAGCTGATATTGCTTCTGTATAAATTTGTTTCGCTTTTCAAGGTAAGTGTTACTCTTTGTGTATAAAGATGTGCATCCGGAAATGGATTTTAAAAAATCACTTGACTTAACCGCATCTAAATCGCATAAACAGTCAAGAAATCTATAAAAATTGCCATGTTTTGGAAGCTGCATATTAAGCTGCCTATGAAAGCCTTCTGCGGCGTTGCTTGTTCGGATCGGTTCTTTGTACACAGAGAAGTTCGTTACTTTTTCCTTAAACAAAAAGAAAATATATTTTTTTCTTTTAATAAAATAAACTGTATAATACCTTTTTCATCCAGTAAGAATCAAAATATTTGATGAAAGGTTGAAAATAGCTTTCTGTCATCTTTCCTTTAATATATTTTACATCCATTGCATCTGCTTTCAAAATTTGGTATGCTGCTGTTATATCGTTTGGTTTTAACAATGGCAAATATAAGAATTTATTAAAGAAAACTTTAGCCTGATTATTCTTATTTAACTCATTTATAAATCCAGGAATTTTCAAAGCCTTTCGCCGCAATGCTTGTGTGTAATGAAACCAACAACCAACGAGTTTTACTGTTGGGTACAACTTTTTAATAGCATTTCGAAGCCCATTTTCATAATCAGTTATAACTCTGTTTGGTTGCAAATCTAATATATTGGACTTTAAATAATGCAACATGTGCGTATATGCTTCTTCTGATTTCTTGGACATCAAAACATATATAAATGGAAACGTCTGTAAGCGGAAGAAAAGTAATTTATTTTAATGAATTTGTTTCTAGTCATATTACATGTTACTTACATGTTCGCAGTGAACGAAATGAATAATGAGCAATTGCTTAAAATCCTTCGATGTTGGAACCACATTAAAAGTTGCATCCATTACGTAATTACGTGGCTCAGACGTGCTGCTCATTGATTGTATAGTTTTTGAAATTGTTGGCGAAACGAAAAGAGTGTATGAGAAATTCTCAGTAATTATTGTATCAGTATAAAATTTTTCTTCACTGTTATATCTGGACATGGCAAATTTTTGAACAACTTCTTCATTTTTAAATACTTCAATGATGTTACTAAAAGTCATTGGAGATTTAGGAAATTTTTTTTTTTTTATATTGAATAGTTGTCTGCGCATTCTTCCATATTCTATTGTTTTGGAAGCTTCTTTAAATTTTTTACATTGTTGGTCAAATATATCACGTACACTTAATCTTTTAATTGGCGCATTTTGAACTTTACATTTAATTGCATTGATAACTTCCAATTTTCTAAAAAGTTCACCTTGTGGTCCATGATTATGAGTTTGGAATTTTCCACTTTTTCGGCAATATATTGTGTTATTTAAGTCCACCGCAACACCAACGTTACAGTTTTTTTCATAGCAATAATAATATTTAATACTATTTCTGCTATATCTATATTTAAATATTTGTTCTTCATCTTTTATGTATAATAATTTGCTGGATGCCCTAAATCCAGGTATTAATTCATATTCGTATATTTGGGCCTCTTCCATTTTATTATTTGATTTAATTTTCTGATGATGTTTGCTTGCAACACGAGGTTAGTATACTGAATTGATAATGTAATAATAAAAAAATAATACATAGTCAGTACCGCTACTTTTTCTTTTGATAAGTTCAAGGCGAATTTACATAAGGTGCTGTTAATCAATCAGCTGATTATTTTTTCTTCACTTGACTGGTACGCACTGATGTCAGAGTTTGTTATTGTTTACATTTTTATATTTGAAAATTTCCGATAAAACGTAGAAAAACTTTGTTATTTTTTTGAATTATTCATGAAAAAATCTAAAAATACCAAGCATTTATTTTATTTAAATAATGAAATAGTTTGTATGTATATGCAAACTTTATTTTAGAAAAATATATATTTTTTTATTAAATTTACACTGTGTAGATAACATGATTAACTAAAAAAATTCTGTTCCGGAATACTTTATATAACGAATACGGAATACTTTATATAGTGACATTTTTAAAAAAAACTAGGTCGCGCATCGAGTGGGGCTCCAAAGTTTAATACATTTCAGTTTAATCGCTTAATAAAAATTTTCTAAATAGCCGGCCTACGGCCGGACGCAAGGATTTACAACTCTATAATATGTCCAACACCGGCTTCGCTTAGTAAAGATTTCCTAAATAGCCGGCCTACGGCCAGACGCAAGGATTTACAACTCTATAATATGTCCAACACCGGCTTCGCTTAGTAAAGATTTCCTAAATAGCCGGCCTACGGCCGGGCGCAAGGACTTTCTTCTCTATGATATGTCCAACACCGGCTTCGCTTAGTAAAGATTTCCTAAATAGCCGGCCTAAGGTCGAACGCTCTTGTTACACGGAAAGTGTATTTTTAGCGAAGCCGGTGTCCAATATATCTCAGAGGAGAAAACCCTGGCGCCCGGCCGAAGGCCGGCTATCAAACATATATTTTTTTTATTTCGTGATATAAAAGTAATATAATGAAATAACTTCCCAAAAATATTTTTAGGGATTTATTTCATTTTTGAATTTTGAGGAATTATTGGCAACTGATTCTTTTGTCAATTTGTAACCGTAACTATTTCACTGTTATGGCGTTATTTCAACTTTGGTTGCTTTTAGTTTATGGTGATATTGCACTTGGGTGTAGGCAATAAAGCCATATGGTTATATTTCTCATTTCATTGAGAAATAAGGCCATATGGCTTTATTACCTATGGCTTTATAACACGGCGCCGTTTTTATATACACACAAACACTTGTTGTTGTGTTGCCAAAAAACAACCCTTATTTTTATTTTATTAAAAAGCTTTGTTTACTTCTTTTCTTTTGTATTTCTGTTTATTTTATTTAAGTTCACTTTTCCTTTTGTTTTTATTTAATTAAACTTTAATTTTATTTTAATTCTTAAACTTTTATTTTATTTCAATTTCTTTTATTAATTTTGCACTTGTTGTCTGTCCGGTGGTTGAAAAGCAATGAGAATAAAAAAAATGTGTCAAGCCCTTTGACATAAAGAGCAACGCAAACTCACTACACTAAAGTGGGGAGTTGCCATATAATGCATATTGTTCTAGCGATTTTACACATAGAGAAAATATAAACTATGTGTTACACTAGACAGACACAAACATACCGCCCACCTTGCAACGGTAGTGCAAAATATAAAATCAAATACAAAATTAGATATAAGTAATATAACAAATTCAATTATGTTATCTAGAGCAACAAATTAACATTTTAAGTTCATTATTGTTAATTATAAAAAAGGAATAACAAAAGTTAACAAATATAATTAACATATGAGAACAATTCAAGTATATAAAAAATAATAGTACATTCAAATGTTTTTAAGTGTAACGTTAAAGAGTACATATCAAACAAAATGTAAATAATACTTTAAAGCCTTTTGAGGGCAACAAATTATAGCATAAATAATATACTTCAGGTTCTTTTGACACCTTCTCCAAAATATGCTATGCCGAATATGGTATTCTGGGCATATAGTTGTCCTGGGCGACTCATAGCTGGTCCAATCAGAATTCTGCTCATAGTATCAGCTCCTAGGATAAGCTGGTAAGGTCAACTAATATGCCAGTGTACGTCCGCATTGGCACGGTCTACAGTTGTTGGACGTAGATATTTGTCTGCTCGCTCCACATTAACAATAGGGCTTCGGCCGTAAATCTTGTCTTCTAAAATACATTCAACCGTTATGCGACGTTTCTTCTCGCGACGATGGTATACAACGATGTCAGTACGTCCTTTAGAAATCCGTAAGCCCAATTCTTCGACTTCACGTTTCATGATTGCTGACCTGGCCGCTGTTGGATCTATTAATGCTCTAATGAAGACGTCAGTATCATGATTGGTGACTACCCGTATCAACGCTGTCATGGGAAACTAAATACGGCCCTGCGGCAAAGGGTGCAACCAAGTATTATGGTCCTGCATACAGCGACGGCACCGATCTATACTTCTACAATTCGCTCGGCTGTGCGACTGAGCCAGGCAGTTATAACATAACAAGTTTTGGGCAACAACTCGAAGCTTTAGCTCCACGGGCATCACAATAAAACGTGAACACTGTCGTATGGCGTGAAGGCGATTACAAAGCGGGCAACCATAATCGGTGTTGAAGTCCATTTTTATACCCTACACCACTATAGTGGGGAGGGTATTATGCGTTTGTGCTGATGTTTGTAACACCCAAAAATATTGGTCCTACACCCACCTTAAAGTATACCAATCGACTCAGAATCACTTCCTGAGTCGATTAAGCTATGTCCGTCTGTCCGTCCGTCCGTCCGTCTGTCTGTGTGTCCATGTAAACCTTGTGCGCTATTGAAAATGGTTGAAATCGGTCCATTATTTCACCTAGCCCCCATACAACCGGACCCCCCGAATAGGGCTTTTGACCTCATAATTATGTTAAATGATCTGCTATCTCTACAAAAATTGGAAAAGTTTAGTTTTATATATGTCTTAATAATTCTAGTGATTTTCGTAAAGATCGGGCATTATTTGACCCTAGCCCCCATACAAAGTCCCCCTCAGAAAATGACTTGAATGTCCACAATTCACTTATAAACAGTAGTATCACGATGAAATTTGGCACAAATGAGTTTTATATAAACATAATTCCCAACAATAAATTTTATAGGGATCGGACCAAGTTTTACTCTAGCCCCCATATAAGCGGACCTTCCGATTTGGGCCTTTTAGCTCATAACTTTGTCAAATACACTACTATCTCTCCAAAAATCGGCACAACTAAGTTGGATATAATTATAAATAACACTGTCGATTTTTATAATGATCGGGCATTATTTGACCCTATCCCCTATACAAAATCCCCTTCAGGAAATGACTTGAATGTCCACAATTCACTTATAAACACTAGTATCAATATGAAATTTACCACAAATAGATTTTATATAAACATTTTATATAAAATGTCGACATTAAATTTTATAAGGATCGGACCAATTTTTTCCCTAGCCCCCATACAACCGGACCTACCGATTAGGGCCTCTTAGCTCATGACTACGATAAATATACTACTATCTTCCCAAAAATTGGCACAACTAAGTTTGATATGTAATTATAAATAACACTGTAATTTTTCGCCATGATCGGAACAATGTGTTGATGTTTGTAGCACTCAAAAATATTTGTCCTTATTAAGCTATGTCCGTCTTTGTGACCGTGTAAAACTTGTGTGCACGCAACAGATCGCAATTTTGAATATAATTTGTTAAAATGTGTCACATACTATTCTCTTGATCCACTGACGATGGCTGTTGAAAATGATTAAAATCGGTCTTCTATTTTTCCTAGTCAGCATACAACCGAACATGAACAGACATTATTTGGAACCTATATAAGATTAACAGAAATGCGTAATTATTGAAATTAATCACATTTAATATTGGCAATTGGTGTAGGGTATCATATGGTCGGCCACGCCCGACTATAATTTCTTACTTGTTTTTTAATCTAGAAGTTTAAATGAGCAACTTTATTTTAGAAAAGGTGATATTGAATTATTAATCAGTGCAATTAGGGAGTAAAACTAATTTGTGTATCGGTCGAGTGATTTCGCCATTTTGAGTTTTAAGGTCAGCCACTCGAACTTTACCGTCAGAACCATGATAAACTTTTACAACACGACCTAAGCGCGATTCAGTTGGACAACAAGGTTCACTTTTAAGAACAACGAGGTCATTTTCTTTTAAGTCTATTTGGGGACTTTTCCATTTATTACGCTTGTGCAACTCTTTTAAATATTCGTCTTTCCAACGGTGACAAATTTCTTGCTGCAATGCTTTGATTTTTCGCCAACGGTTTACTATACTAATTGGCGAGCTAAGCTCTTCAGGTTCAGCAGGAGTAAGAATAGCAGAGCCTATTAAAAAATGACCAGGAGTAAGAGCGGGCAAATCATCGATGCTGTCGGACGTAGGGCCAAGAGGACGCGAATTGAGACACGATTCTATCTTTGCCAAAAGTGTCGAAAACTCTTCAAACGTATATTTCATTTGTCCAGCTGACTTTTTAAAGTGCATTTTCAAACTTTTTACTCCTGCCTCCCACAGTCCTCCTATATGAGGAGCTGCTGCAGGAATAAAGTGCCACTCAAGATGTTGATGACCATATTTTTCTACTGCCGAATCACGTAATTCTTCTATATGTTTTTCGAAGTTATTTTCAAGTTCTCTTGCAGCGCCAACAAAATTCCTTCCATTATCAGAGAAAATGCGACTAGGGCAACCACGACGAGCAACAAATCGAGCCAAAGCTGCTAGAAATGCAGGAGTGGACAAATCGCTAACGGCCTCAATGTGAATCGCCTTAGTAGAGAAACAAACAAATAGACACACGTAGCCTTTAGTGATACGGCAATATCGACCAGTGAAACTTTTGATTTCAAATGGGCCGGCAAAATCAACACCTGTGTTAGTAAAAGGGCGACTTAAAGTAGTTCTTTCTTCAGGTAGCACTGCCATGATCTGATTTTGAAGCTTTTTTCTATGTATAACGCAGATTTTACAGTTGTGGATGACCGTTTTTATTAGATTTTTAGCCTTTATAATCCAACACTCCTGACGTACGACATTTAGGACTAAACGAGGGCCTCCATGTAAGACCATATTGTGGACAAACTCAACGTAAAGTTGTGCTAATCTACTAGTATATGCAAGTATTACGGGATGTCGTTCATTGTATGACAAACATTTTGTAGAGCCAAGACGACCATTAGCACGAATAATACCATTTTTGTCTAAGAAAGGCATAAGCGTTAATAAAGGACTACGAGAGTCAATTTTCTTTTTCGATGACAGACAACTAAACTCATCAGAAAAGTGCGACTGTTGAGAGAGAAAAAATAGGCGATTTCGTACAAATACAAGTTCTTGAGCGGAAATTGCTTTTGCTCGCAAGATTAAAAAATCTAAATATATAAGCAATAACATGATATGCTCTGGGCAAACTTGAGAAACGGTCCAGTATATCTTCTCGTTCAGCGGATCTAGCAATATTAACTTGCACTTGTTTCGATTCTTCTACTGTTTCGAATTCTAATGGACCTTCGGGCCACGACGATTTGTTTAATCTGAGCCAATCAGGACCATGCCACCAAAGTTTGTTTTCTCTTAAATCCGAAGGTATCAGCCCCCGGGTTGCTAGATCGGCAGGATTGTGATTAGAAGCTACGTGAAACCAATTTTTGTTTCCTACTTTTTCTAATATTGTTGCTACCCTATTTGCAACAAAGGTTTTCCAAGCAAGAACTATTGTCGAATCGGACCACAAATATAAATTATACGTATGCAATTTGAAATTGGGGATTACGCTGTTTACTAAATTGGCTAAAAGAACTGCGCCACACAACTCTAAACGCGGCAAAGATGGCCTTTTAACTGGAGCCACTTTTGTTTTGCCAATTAGTAGATTTACATAAACTTTATCACCATTCACAATACGTATATATAGTGTAGCTGCGTAAGCTAACTCAGAAGAGTCACAAAAGCCATGAAATTCAATATAAGAACTAGGCGTATATTGAACCCAACGATCAAGTTTAATTGTATCAATCTCATTATAATTAGAAATGAATGTCTTCCATTTTTGTAGAGCCACAGGTTTTATATGTTCGTCCCAGTCTATTTTGTCGAGCCACATTTGCTGCATCAAAATCTTTGCTGTTATAATCACTGGGGCCAACCAACCTGCTGGATCAAATAGCCTTGCTATAATTGAGAGTACTTCCCTCTTTGTATAAGCTGTTTTGAACTTAATCTTCTCAGTTGTAAAATAAAAGTAATCTTCTGCCGCATTCCAATGGACACCGAGTGTTTTAGCATTACTTTTATCATCGAGCGACAAAAAAGAAGAGTTAAGAAGATGTTCTTGGGGCAAATTTTTTAAAATTTGTTTAGAGTTTGAGGCCCATTTTCTCAACTCAAACCCAGCTGTACCCAATATACCAATTAATTGGTCTCGTGCCTCCAAAGCATCAGGGATCGAATGAGCTCCAACAAGAGCATCATCAACATACATTGACTCACGAAGAATTCTTGAGCCTAGCGGAAAACATCGTTCTTCATCGTCAGCTAACTGTAAAAGCGTTCTAAGGGCCAAAAAGGGGGCACAATTAACGCCAAAAGTGACGGTGTTCAACTGATAATCTTCGATTTGGGTTTCACTAGGACTACGAAAAACTATCTTCTGATACTGTCTATGTTCAGATTTTAATAAAATTTGTCGATACATTTTGGATATATCTGCATTAAAGACAAACTGAAAGAGTCGCCATTTTAGAATTAGGGCTACTAAATCAGCTTGCAATCTAGGGCCTACAAACTGCAAATCGTTAAGACTGTTACCATTAGAAGACGAGCTTGAAGCATTAAAAACAATTCTTAACTTTGTGGTGGTACTGTCAGGCTTAAAAACTCCATGGTGAGGTAAATAATAACTCGGACTACTTTCTGAATTTTCAATTTTCTCCATGTGTCCCAAAGCTATGTATTCTTTTAAAACCTCATCATATTGAGCCTTAAATTCAGGATTTCGCATTAAAACCTTTTCATTTCTTAAATATTGACTGAGAGCAATATGACGATTTGGGCCAAGTGACGAAAAAGTATCTTTAAAGGGCAAACAAACTATATATCTTCCTTCAGAATTTCTTGTGGAAGTAGAAAGATAGATCTCTTCACATTTTTTATCCTCTTCTGATAAAATCTTTCTACGAGAAACTTCTTCTAACTCCCAAAACTTTGTTAACTGATCGTCAATGG